TCATCTTTTGTAGAAGAGCTGGGATTAATTTCACATGAATGTCACGACCTTCCAGTCACGTCGTCACTGAAAGGTTCCACAGTTGAAGAACATCGTCCAGACTGAGGAAGAATCAAACAGATATCAACCAGAACCTTCTTACACTGACCCACCGCTGCAGCACGTTCACACCACAATACTCAGGTTTCACTCTGCTCTTCTGAAACCTCTAAACACCGACTGATCAGGAGTGGATCCCCCTACAGGCCTGTGACCACACTGCACGTCACTACTTAACGTCTGTCCGACAAACAACGTTCACGTTTCACCTCTCCTTCCTCACTTTGACCCTCATTTCCCAAAATGCACCTTGCTCTGGGTCAGTTTCTGTCTGTGGTTCAGTTTGGTCCGAGGACGAGGACGAACTCCCTGGAGAAGAGGAAGAGACTGTTATGATTTATGAACCAGGTGTAGAAACAGAGTTCTCCTGGTCTTTTTTTTTTTCATCAGTGATTTTTCTCCAAATCCTCGTTTCTTTTTGTGTTGCAGTCGTCGGCGAAGAGTTTACGCGCGACCATCGGTGACGCGTTTGAGCGCCTGCACCGCTTCCTCCGCGAGCGTCAGAAGAGCATGCTGGAGGAGCTGGAGACGGACACGGCCCGTAAACTGGCGGACATCGAGCACAAAATCCAGTGCTACAGCCAACAGCTGCGCGACGTCAAGGAGGGCATTCAGATCCTGCAGGAGCGACTCAACGAGACGGGGCGACACGACTTCCTGGAGGGCGTGGCTGTCACGTCGGAGAGGTGCTTCATCTACAGAGATTTACAGAAAAACACTCCAGTAATCTGTTGATGAGGAGGAGAAATAAGAGTACGGTGTTTTGTTCATGCTAACAGGGAGCGTACAGATGTTAGCAGCAGCAGCTAAGGAGAAACGATTGTTAGACTTAGCTGGTGTTTATAACAGAATCAGTAGAACAGTCAGTCCCAGGTCTGTGGCTCAGATCTTGGTGTCAGGTCACCAACTCTGACCGACGACCTTTCTCTGACCCAGGGGTTTTAACTGTAACAGAATCGTCGTCCTCTTCTGATTGGATGGCCTCGTCCTCATCAGTTACTGTGAGCTCGGTCCCTCAGACGTAG